TAGCATTTTAATTATCCAAGCATCTTGATTTTCTTTAATCCCTTTAAAATATGTTGTAATTATCTTTTTAAAATAAAAAAAAAAAACTATGAATAAACATATTAAATAACATCTAAAAAGGAAAAAAAATGAATAAATAAATTTGAACACTCTAATTAAAAACTTAGGTCTACTAAAATTAAATAGAAAGAGTATAAATTGTAACTTATACATGTGCAAATTTTTTTTAAAAAAAATGTTTTTTAAAAAAATATTTAGCATATAAATAAAGAATTCGTAGTTTTGCTATTCACTTTATATAGATCGAACATTTTATAATTATTAATGGAAGAAAAATCATCTTAACATTATAGGCTCACCCCTTATCAATAATTGTTAAAATGTGCATCCTGCCTTCATTACTTCCCTGATAAATTAAACAAAAAGGAATATTTGAGGGATAGAAAATGGTGGGTTGTCGACAGCCGATAAAAGGGCGGGGGTGAGGGCTGGGGTGGGATATATATATATATATATATATATATACACACAATGATGAGATATATTTATGGCAAAAATGATGCTCCATCAGGCATAGAGTTGAGTTAGCTAAACGTAGCTACGGTAAACTAAAAAATGGAAAAAACAATAGAACCGATTTGGTTAAAATATAAAAACTGAGGCGTATAAAGAGAGAAATTAGATGTTTGAAGGAAATTTTACGAGGAACAACACATTTGAGAGGAGGAAGAGGAAAATAGAGAGATGGTGACATGTGCATAGGGATCTATATATATATATATGAAAAAGTGCATATCAGTTTCGACTCTCAAAATAAATTAAATTTATAACTTTAAATTATGTAGGTTTATTTAATTAAAATTCAACTTAAAATTTAAAAATTTATTTTATTAAATGTTGATATTTAAATTTAGAAACTAATTATATTATAATATATAATCGGTTTTCTAATCTTATATCAACATTTAATAGAGTGAATTTCTAAATTTTGAATTGAAATTTTAATTTTTAAATATAAGTTAAAACTCCAATTTTTTTGAGAAGGATTGATATACATTAACACACACACATATATATATATATATATATTCCTTTTGATCACATAAGCATTTAGAACCAATTATATTATAATATATAATCGGTTTTCTAATCTTATACCAACATTTAATAGAGTGAATTTCTAAATTTTGAATAAAGATTTTA